AAGTAGTAGTAGTAAGTAGTAGTAAGTAGTAGTAGTAAGTAGTAGTAGTAGTAGTAGTAGTAGTAGTAGGTACTAGTGAGTAGTAGTAGTAGTAGTAGCAGTAGTAGTAGTAGTAAGTAGTAGCAGTAGTAGTAGTAGTAGCAGTAATAGTAGTAGTAGTAGTAGTAGTAGTAGGTAGTAGTAAGTAGTAGTAGTAGTAGTGGTAGTAGTAGTAGTAGTAAGTAGTAAGTAGTAAGTAGTAAGTAGTAGTAGTAGTAGTAAGTAGTAAGTAGTAAGTAGTAAGTAGTAGTAGTAAGTAGTGTAAGTATTAGTAGTAGTAGTAGTAGTAGTAAGTAGTAGTAGTAAGTAGTAGTAGTAGTAAGTAGTAGTAGTAGTAGTAGTAATAGTAGTAGTAGTAGTAGTAAGTAGTAGTAGTAGTAAGTAGTAGTAGTAGTAAGTAGTAGTAGTAGTAGTAAGTAGTAGTAGTAGTAAGTAGTAGTAAGTAGTAGTAGGAGTAGTAGTAGTAGTAGTAATAGTAGTAGTAGTAGTAAGTAGTAGTAGTAAGTAGTAGTAGTAGTAGTAGTAGTAGTAGCAAGTAGAAGTAGTAAGTCGAAGTAGTAGTAGTAGTAGTAGGAGTAGTAGCAGTAGTAGAAGTAGGAAGTAGAAGTAGTAGTAGTAGGAGTAGTAGCAGTAGTAGCAGTAGTAGCAGTAGTAGTAGTAGGAGTAGTAGTAGTAGGAGGTAGTAGTAGGAGGTAGTAGTAGGAGGTAGTAGTAGTAGTAGTCGTAGTAGTAGTAGTAAAAAGAATAGTAGTAGCAGTAGCAGTAGCAGTTGAAGTAGTAGTAGTAGTAGGTAGTATGTATTCCTTAGTAGGTATTACTTAGTAGGTGATACCTAGTAGGCAGTAGGTAGTCAGCAGCAGGTAGCAGGTAGCAGGTAGTAGGTATTAGGCGCTAGGTACTGGGTAGTAGGTAGTGGTGGTGGTAGTAGTAGTAGTAGGTAGTAGGTATTAGGTAGCAGGTAGCAGGTAGCAGGTAGCAGGTAGTAGGTAGTAGGTAGTCGATAGTGGGTAGTGGGTAGTAGGTAGTAGGTATATAGTGGGTAGTGGTGGTGGTAGTAGTAGTCGTCGTCGTAGTAGTCGTCGTCGTAGTAGTAGTAGTGGGTACCCACTACCACTACTACTACTACTACTACTACTACTACTACTGCTACTGCTCCTGCTCCTGCTCCTGCTCCTGCTCCTGCTCCTGCTACTGCTACTGCTACTGCTACCCCGTGCTCTTGCTCAAGGAATACACCATCATCATAAGTTTTTTGTCGGAAACTATGATACCACTACGACTACTACTACTACTACTACGACTACTACTACTACGACTACGACTACGGCTACGACTACGACTATTACTACTACTACTACTACTATTACTACTACTACTACTACTACTACTTCGACTAGGACTACGACTACGACTACGACTACGACTACTACTACTACTACTACTCACCTATTACTACTCCTACTACAGCTACTAACTGTACTATACTAAGACGAACTCTACTACTACTACTACTACTACTGCTACTGCTACTGCTACTGCTACTGCTACTGCTACTACTGCTACTGCTACTGCTACTGCTACGGCTACTACTGAACTACTTCTACTGGAGACCTCTACCACATCCTAGAAGCAAAAGCTGGGGTCCCGTTATGCTAAACCCCCCTGCTCGAAAAGTGTTGTTGTTTTTACCCCCTAGAAACTTTCCTCTCAGTCCGGGGTGGTTTCTTACATTGCTTACAAAAGGAGTGGTTGGTGCGGCCTGGCTGTCGCTGTCCCACTAGGTGCCACACAGGGCTTGCGCGTGTGCAGTTGTT